ATACTCGGCCACAGTTGAGTTACCCTACTTCAGCTCAAGGAATTCAATTTCCTTCTTACCATGCACATCTTCTGGAAAATACTTCTCCAGAAATGTCTCTCTAAAAACATCCCAAGTAACCACAATCTCATCCTCTTCAAACCTTTGGCGAGTATTACCCCACCAGTCCTCAGCTTCCTCTTCAAGCATATGAGTGCCAAACTGCACCCTCTACGCATCCGAACAATTCATGACTCGAAAGATCTTCTCAATTGCTTTCAGCCATACTTGTGCTTTGTCAGGTTCATGTGTTCCCTTAAATATTGGCGGATTGTTCCTTTGGAACCTTCCCAAAGCACGAAACTCATCATCAGTGTTATTTCTAGCATTCACATTGGCTTGAGGATTCTGCTCAATGGCTCCAGCCAACCTCGTCAAAGCCTCAGCAATCGCTTCATCATTCCTACCGGCGATCATCGTTCTGAATCCCAACAACAAAACTCATAAGAACCAACAATTTTGATAGTGTCACACACATAATCAGATATATAAAGGGAATAAACACATTAACAACTTGGCCAACTGGCCGACCTGCTCTGGTATCACTAATGTAACACCCCCTTTCTATACCCCCAAATAAACAAATAAATCATTTAACACGCATTTCAACTTCATCAGAGTATAAATAAAACATGGTATAAAAGAGGTATGTCACATCATCACGAAATTAACATACAACACCTGCTCGATAAAAGACACGCAACAGTGGGGTAGTTTCAACAGAGGAACTTAGTCCATATACCCACATTTCAATATTTAGAATTAAAAGCGGAAAATCTAAACATTGAATCACTTTAAACATGCTAATCATATAAATACATATCATTCAGTTTGATTCACCATATCATTCATGTTTACATAAACATTGTCATTATATACATATACAAATGTATCTCAAAATAATGTTATACAATCCTAGCTACCCGGTGCTACATATCAGAGCTTAACCGACCAAAAGAATGAAGCTATACTTCACAAAAGACTTCCATCAAAGCTAATCTGCAATGCCTCATAGAGCATTATAAAACAGCAGAAGGGTGAAAAATATTATCATAATAGTCAATGCATATAATTTTATATATATATATATATATATATATATATATATATATATATATATATATATATATATATATATATATATATATATATATATATATATATATATATATATATATATATATATATATATATATATATATATATATATATATATATATATATATATATATATATATATATATATATATATATATATATATATATATATATATATATATATATATATATATAAGCATAGAATACACATATTCCACATTCCTCACCACAATTCATTATCATCATCATATACATTATAATATATGTATAAACAAATATGGATAATTACCAAACATGTTTCATCATGCGCACATCCATAATTCTCATCAATTCACATAACATACACATATGCATACATTCACACAACATTTATCTCTATGCCATGTGACTCAATGCAACTCAATGCAACTCATGCCATGTGGTACCAACACTTGTTATCATTTTTCGGTTTTTACACTTAAATCGGGTCCTTCCTCTAGACCGATAACAACAAAAGCCCGTCCTCTAAGCTTTCAAACCCACTCTTCTAAGTTTGGGACAAGTCACTAGTCTCCACGAAACTAGCAAGCATTGCCTCTTGACCAAATGATGCGTATGCAATCAACAACCAAATGCACTTAAGACCGTTCTCACATTTTAATCTCATGCATTCTCAAATAGTTCATCACATAAGAACTATAACATGATTGCACACTCACACATCATATCAAAGCATTCAAACTTTCAACATCATCACATTTATCAAGCAATGCAAACATATTCACAATATGTTCTCATGCATTATTCACAATATTGCATCCAATCAATATGCATTCACAATTCAATACCATCACCACATTTTCAATCAATGCACACATATTCATAATATGTTCTCATGCATTATTCACAATATAATGCCAAACGGTAACGAACCTCATCATAAATCATCCTGCATTTTTAATCAATTTAAACAATGCATTATATATGCCAAAAGGCCACATTTCACAATATTGCACAATCTAGGATTCACGCCATACGGCTACCCACAACATATCACATCACAACAGTACACAAACTATTCATTTCTGATAAAGATTGAACACAATTGAACCAAACAATCAACATTGGATGGAAAACACAAGGAAATGAAAATGTTGTCACGCTCGCCGGCTTGCTCGCCTAGTGAGCTCCTAGCGAACACTCGCTACCTGTTCGCCTAGCGAACAAGCTCGCGAAGGCAAACAAAAGCTACTGTAAGGCTTCACTACCTACTCGCTGCAGCGAGGTCCTAGCGAATTTTTCGCTACCTCACTCGCTACCAGCGAACAAGATCAATTACATTCTGTCCAAGTCTGGAACCACTCGCTAGCTTGCTCGCTTAGCGAGTTGCTAGCGAACACTCGCCTAGCGAAGGTGCTAGCGAACGTCTGCGATGTTCAAAACCCTCGTTGTCCAAAACTCTCCAAAACTCCCAAAATCACCCGATTCAATTCCAACGAGTTCCAGTACTCTTAGTCTAACAATCCTCGACTAATCTACACCACTTATTCCGGATTCCAACCGTTAAAACATTGATTCTACCGATTAAACTCATCTATGCCCTAGAATGGAAAATGGAGAAAAACATCCAAACAATCCAAACCAATCATACATAATCATATGCATTAACAATATAATGATATTTCACACCCTTATCTTGATTAAATCGAAAGCTAGGAGTTGTTCTTGATGATTCCAAACTTTTTCCCTTTCTTCCTTCTCTATTCTCCTCTTCTCCTTTCTTTCTCTTCTCTTTCTCTTATGTTTCTATTTTTTTCCTTTTCTTTCCACTTTTCCTTATATCCTTTCCATTCTATTTCCTTCCATCATATTTCTCCTCTCAAGTATCTACCAATAATTTCAATAATTAAAATCATCCAAATAAATCAATTATTTAATACGAATAATTAGTTATTGAAAAATTGGGTTGTTACACAGACGGTCGTTTGATTAGGTATCAACGATAAAAGATGCATCATAGAGCATGATCATGTATTATTCTCAATAAAAATGAGAGTCCACCTGTTTCTTTCGCTTTTTTCTCAAATATTTATTATTAAATCTTATTCATGAAAATGAGAGTCCACCTATTTTTTTCGCTTTTTTCAAATATTTATTATTAAATCTTATTCATGAATCTTGCGGTCGGTCAATAACACAAGCAATTAACTCATGAATTAGAGATTTCGTAAGTAAACAAAATAGTAATAAGATTGAAAATTCACTAACAATTGTGAAATATCATATTTGAAATGAAATGATAATGTCCAATTTAATAATATCAATTTTGTTTGAAGTCACACTTGGGAACTATAAATACTATTTTGATAAAAGATGTAGTAATATACAAATTTGAGATAAATAAAAATAAATAAATAAAAGAAATAGAGAGAATCATAAGCCATGAAAAATTCGGTTTCTCACAAAAAGGGAAAAACACACTTTTCTTATCTACCATTCGAATTCGCAACGACTTCGCTTTTCGCGTCTCAATGAAGCGCTTATTCTCCACTTTATATATAAACGCGACAACCCTTTTTCCCTTTTCTTAATTGATTTCCCTCTTCGTCCTCATTTCTTCTAAATATCTCTCATAGCTGCATTCTTAGCTTCTTCACTCATCTGATTCGTTGGCTTTCACAGGATCTATTCGTAAGTAGCTTTTCCTTCATCTTTTTACATACAATTTTCATTTTATGATTTGTTTATTTATTATCAATTTAATAAGGTATGTGTTGGATATTTTGTGTTCTGGTTTTCCTATGTTGTTTATGTTTTGTTCTTCCTTATGGGTTTTGACTATCTTAGGAAGAAGATGCTAACTTTTTGCTTTAAGCTTCCGTACAAAAAATGGGCTGTTAGAATTATGAATAATTGATGAATTTTGCTGCTATAGTCTTTGAAATTTTTTTTTTCTGAGTATTTGTTTTTAATGCTATTGTTGGGGTGGTGAAAGGTCTCATGTGTTCTTCTCCTTTGGTGTGATTTTACATAGAGTTTTGTGAAGTACTTGTTTTAGTTAATTAGGCTCTTGCGTTAATCAATGGTTTTAAGAATTATAATAATGTAAGTGTCACTGTCAATGACTCTTGACTGAGTAAGAGAGAGAGAGAGATTGGAAGCAAGCAAACAAGAACATTGATTTTAGTACACATAGATTAGTGTTTCTAGACTTTTGTGTGTTTTTAACCATTAACAGAAGGAGCTTTTGGATTGCTTATGGTGATGAATTGAATAGAATTGGGTCTTTATGTGTTGGGAGAGATAATCTGAGTTGAATATGTATAGCTTGAAATGTTTGAGTTGAAGTTATTATTACTGTGAAACTTAGTTTTACTTCGATGAATCTCTCTTGCTTTCTTGTTTATTGCATGTAGTTAGTGATATCGTCATGGTTTTGTCATTTTTTCCCGTCCTCTTTCAATCTCCTCCTCTCGGTTTATGTCTTTTAGTAGCATGTTTTATACTTATACCTGCAAACAATTGAGTACAGTATTAGCCGACAAAATAAGTTATGTTATCATGCTTCATTGCTAACTCATTTTTGCGCTGTCTTTTCTTTATTTGTTGATCTGATGGCTGCTACTCTCTTATGTGGTGCAGGCTGCAAGGTTTATTGAATGAAACCTTGTTGGACTTGGAGCGGTATTTAGTATATCAATTGAGCCCTTCCACAATCTAGAAAATCTATCAGTTGAGTTTCCGACATGATTAAATGGATATTTTGTAGTAGAAAATATTTATGATTACATATCCATTGATTAAAACAAAATTAGGCATTTCATGTACGTTTCGTATATACATGTGATATTGATATTGTTGAGAATGAATTCTTAAACCAGGGGATGAACATGCTTAGTCCTGAAGGTGAACTGAAAATAAGTTTCGGCTATCAATGCAATGACGACAGAGGTATCCCTTGCAAGGTTGCCAAAGGCTGCAAAATCCTTCCTGAAATGCGAAGAACAAGCAGTTTCTCTTGCTTGTCTGGTGCTGCTTTGAGTGCAAATGCTACACTTGCCAACACAAGCATCTGCAACGGTGTGATAGGAGAAGAAATCCTTCCGAATTTGGACTCTCCTAATTCATTTCGGCGTGTTCCCTCTTCGCCGTGTCTTGGAATGTTGGACATGCTATCATCTTCTCTCCAAAGTAGTTTGTCGAACCTAAGTTGCAGCCCATCCAGTCCAAGTCTTATGCTTGAATACGACCCTTGTTCGTTAAGACTCATGAGTCCTTCCTCTAGAAATGATAGTTTTCTCAGTGCTACAGAAGTACAAGTAGCAGGAGGAGCTGCTGGTGAAGATAGAGTTCAAGCAGTTTGTTCTGAAGAAAACGGTTGGCTATTTTGTGCAATTTATGATGGATTTAATGGGAGAGATGCAGCGGACTATCTCGCTTGTACTCTTTATGACTCTATTGTATCTTATCTAAATACAATAGATTGGAATTCAGAACCGAATTCCGTCAACGCTTCTGGCAATGTCGGTTTGGATGGTAGTCGTATTCTTAATCACGACCATCAATCTTCATCAGATAAATCATTTTCGAATGTGGTACTTGATAGCCTCAAACATGTTGTTAATCAGGTTGAGAATGATTTCCTGTACATGGTTGAGCAGGAAATGGCGGAACGTCTGGATTTAGTTTCGATTGGATCTTGTGTTTTGCTCATGCTTCTTCATGGAAATGATTTGTGTACGCTCAATCTTGGTGATAGCAGAGCAGTGCTTGCAACATGCAGTACAGGTAACGTAATGAACGGGAGTGAGAGGTTGAGAGCTATTCAGCTTACTGATAGTCATACTGTTGACAATGACAGTGAAAGAGCTCGACTTCTTGCCGAGCATCCCGATGATCCTAAGACCATTGTAGCAGGGAGAGTGAAAGGAAAATTGAAGGTTACTCGTGCTTTTGGAGTTGGGTACTTGAAAAAGGTAGGTAACATTTTAAGAATTTTCCGTATCGCCATATCCATGCTGTATTTTACCAAATAGATAAAGTTAATTTTTTTTTTTCATGCAGAAAATTCTGAATGATGCATTAATGGGAATCCTCCGAGTTCAAGATCTCAGAAGCCCGCCATACATTTCAACAGATCCATCATTAAACGTGCATAAAATCTCTCCTTCCGATCAATTTGTTATAGTTGCAAGTGATGGTTTATTCGATTTCTTCAGCAATGAGGAAGTGGTGAATCTTGTGGAGTCTTACATCTTGCGCAATCCTCACGGTGATCCTGCAAAATATCTCATTGAAGAACTAGTAACAAAAGCAGCTGATTCTGCAGGTTATTTTCCAAGATATCATACTAAGTTTATGAATAGAAAATATTTGTGGTTTATTATTGATTCCGTTACATGATCGATTCTCTTACAGGTTTCAGCACGGAGGAGTTGATGAATGTTCCGGCTGGAAGTAGGCGGAAATATCACGATGACGTCACTGTAATGGTGATCATCCTCGGGATGAATAAACGAACTTCAAAGGCGTCAATTTGCATCTGAACATTGACCGAAGAAAATTTGCAGATGAAGCTTTTCAATGGAAACTAAAGTCATTTTTTGTATTGTAGAAAGTTGGGATATTGGAAGATTGTACATATGACAATTTTGAACATAGAATCATTAGTTCCTTTGTATTCAAATATTTTGTGCTGTGCTTCCATTTTGCTGTAGAAATGCATGTAAAAAATAAATAGGCTGCTTTACAGATTATGATGAATTCATTCAAGTGGATTCAATCTTGATTGCAGTTGCGGATAATCGAACCGTAGTTCTCTCTATTAAGTTCAGCGCGTCAATCACCATTGGATAAACTAACCACTGGATGCCACCTATTTTATTAATGTTAAATCTTCGAGGGAATTTGTGCATGTAACAATGATGTCTAATTTAAAATGCTAACTCTACTTCATTGTCACAAGTGGTTCTTTGATAGTTTTGTCAAAAAATTGACTTGTAACGCTGGCTTACTATTTCAAACTTGTATTATATATTCAATATATACCTAAGTTTCTTATAGAAAACACTAAGATCTAAACTGTGGGTGGGTGGAAAGTCTTGTTCAAATTACTTCTAGATTGATCAGATTAAATCTATTACTATACAACTTATTCAAATTACTTCTAGAATGATCGGATTGTATATACAACTATACAATTCAAATAGCTTTATATGGGTAGGAGTTGAAATGTAATTTAAATAGACCATGAATATCAATACATAGAACAAGAATATCGATACAAAGTTATTAACATAATTACTTAATTTCATTAAAAGTCTTATGTGATGAAATTAGGAATGTGTAATGTCTTGCAGCATTGGAGTAAGTTTTTGATGCAATGGAAAGAAAGCTAACTTGTAAAATTATCATTCTAATGTATAAGTCAGTTTTTGAGCGAAAATTAATGTGAAGTAAATTATGGTTTTAACACACCTCATGTTTTGTGTGAGATCCATTATATACAAGGAGCGATTAGAGTTCCAATTGTCTTTCGGAGTGGTATGCTGAAAATTGTTAGATGACATCCAACAACGAAGAATGATATGTGGTGTGAATCGAATACATGACATCCAACGACGAAGAATGATATGTGGTGTGAATCGAATACAAGCCTGCAAGTCTCAGATGCATTGTATCTCCAACACTCTATGACTTTGAATTGATAATTAGACTTATCTGTTATTAAGCTTCTAGCCGGTGCAAAATAGTTTTTCCTAAAGCTTACCATAATATAGTTATGGGAAGACTTCCAAAATACTAGGTGGGTGTCACCTTAGGTTGAGATCCCTAAGAAAGATTTTTTGTTTGTAGAAGTGGAAAAGATTCACATAATCAGATTAAATTATCTTGAGTATAACCACATTAAATGCTAGTTTTGCCATTTTAATGCTTTTCAGAATTGCTCCTACACGTAGCCTTAGGCTCCTAGAGTAAGGTGTGACTTTCTCCTATACGGTGCTCAAGTGTACTTGAGTATTGTGATACTTTCGAGGCAAATTTTACCATTACTTTTCATCTGTCTAATTTCCTTCATTTTGAATTGTTGATTTGCCTATCTCACTTCACTATATAAAGGCCAATTAACCTTTTAGGGAACATTTTCCCTTTTTGCTTAAATTGTGATTTTTCTCTTCCTGTTTCAAACTTTTTTTTTATCTTCGTTTCTAAGTCTTAGTGAATCTCATTTTACCTATTCTTTTCTTCCTTTGAATTTTGTGCACCATTGATTCATCTTACTTTCACAACAATCTTTCATTGTATCTCTCTCTCTCTCTCACACATACTTATTTCTTTGTCTCCTTTATTTTAGCCATGACCAATATAGGGGTGAATAAGAGAATGTCATAGAAATATCTAGTGGTGATGATATATGTGATGCTTCGTCTCACACAAGGATATTAAATCCAAAAATATTAAATGTTGATCCTTTGACAATTTCCTACCCTATTTTAAACCTTTTTGTTCTTAGCGATAACTCTAAAGCTAGTGGGAGGTCCATCAAAGATGGTAGTGAACCATTGATGTTTTTGTAGGAAGGGTTGGAGGGATGAGTCCATATCATCCCTTTATCGGAGAGGATGGTATTGGTCCCTCCTCTTCCATGTTACATACAATAGGTCTTAAATATGTTAAGGTGTATCATGATGGTCTGAGGGTTCACAATTTTATTAAATCTTTTTGGTCTTTGAACAGCCGAGAACCCAATGGCAAGAGGTTAGGGAGCATCACTACTTCCGAGATCATTCCTGAATTTATGATGATCATTAGCTTTTTGTTTACAATGTGGTATACATGGTTTGATAGCACTAATAAGGTCTTGTGCTGCTTGTCAATGATGCTCAATATTATTAGATAGAGACCGAAATGGCGGAGATAATTTCCACTTTCATCAACACTCACTGCTTGGAATATGCTTACTCAGACATAGGCTATCGTCTGACTGGTATGTCTTATCCGTTGACCTCGACAAGAGGGTGTGCAGTTCATTTGACGGGTGTTAAGTTCCTTTTTAAGAATATCTGTATTTTAGAATAAAGTTTAGAATGCCTTTTAATGGTTTTAAGGCGAAAGATTTAAATCACCTAAGGATTGCATTGTCCCAGCTGCACGCGATAGCTTGGGCCTTTGTTGAGGTATTTCAATATTGGTGCAATACCGAGTAGGAGTTCCAACCTATGATTATTCCTCAATCTCTTTAATATGACTCACACTTCTACTTAAGAGGAGAGAGGGAAAGAGGTGCTCTCTCGCTATCTATCTATCTATCTCTCTCACTCTCTCACTCTCTCCCTCTTTCTCTCTCACTCACTCTCACTCACTCACACACACACACACACACACACACACACACACACACTTTCTCTCTCTCTCTCTCTCTCTCTCTCTCTCTCTCTCTCTCTCTCTCTCTCTCTCTCTCTCTCTCTCTCTCTCTCTCTCTCTCTCTCTCTCTCTCTCTCTCTCTCTCTCTCTCTCTCTCTCTCTCTCTCTCCGTCTTTATCTCAATCATCTAGAGAAATTATTTGATGTATACCTCGAGAGCTAAAATAATTTAAAGAAGCACTACTTCTTGGTCACTCATCGTAATCGAGAAGTTCATTCCTCTTTCTGCATTTTACCTAAGGATGGTCTATACGGTCCCCTTATTCAAACCTGGTAAAATGTGGGAACAAGATTAAAAAATGTTGAGATCGAGATTTCAAAAATCATTTGCTTTAATAAATTTTTTCAAAAATCATTTGCTTTAATAAAATTTTTCATTCTAGCTTTCCATAAGTCAAATCTTTCACCATAAAATGCTGGAGATTAATTCATCAAAATTCATTTTTAAAAATAAAAATGTTTGTAGTCATTATTCTACCTCCCTAAATAATTAGTTTTACAATAAGTATTAGGCTTTGATGCGACTTATTATACAAGTGACTCCTAACATAATAGGTACTTGTATGCAGAAGACGCTTAACAAATCATATGAATCATACTTAGTTCTAAGGAACTTTATCCGAATCCATCTGCTATAATAATCAACTATGACTAATCAGTATTTCTTCCCATTAATTGATTTAGTACCAACTAAACCAAATAAATTAATGTGAAGCGGCTCTAAGGGTCTGGAGGTAGAGAAAATGTTCTTAGATATATAAGAGGTTTTATTAAATTTTCCTTCTTGGCATGCTCCACAACGAGCATATGAGTGATAATTGAGTTATGGAAAATCTTTGACAAGTTTTAATTTAGTAAGATTAGAGATTAATCTCTAGTTAGCATTTTCTAACCTTCTGCGCTAGAGCCATTTTTCATCACTAACTGATAGAAGGCAAAGTAACTTATGATAAGCCATTCAAGAGAAATTAATTTTATAGACATTGTCTTTCCTCCTTCCTTTGAACATTATGGACTTGTCAGACTCATTCATGACTATACACTTGTTCTTATTAAAAATTAATTTATAACCACTGTCACAAAATTGACTAATACTTAGTAGTTTATGTTTTAGTTCATCTACTAACCATACATTATTAATATAAATAGAAGAATTACTAATAGTGCTTGTACCAATGATCCTTCCTTTATGGTTTCCTCCAAAAATATGAGTGCAACTTCTCCGTTAGATGTTTTGCATGATGTCAAAACTACAAGGAAACTTAGTATTTCTGTGTGTCGGATGGTATCTCTGATTTTGTATGGCACCCTTGCATTAGGGGTCTTAGGAATCATCAAAAACCACTTCAAAATTGTCCACAATCATGAAAAAAATGCACTACATGTGTCAGCACATACGCTTTTCAAGTCGGCACATGCAACTCAATAATGAAGTCTGTAGTCTCTGTCAAAGTCAGGTCGGCACATAAGCCTTTCAGCCCGACACATATTATAACATCAGTTCTATGTGTCGGCGCATACGTGCTTCAGGCCGATATATCTACTGTCCTAAATAAGGTCATAGTCTCTGTTTGATTTGGGTTGATACATAGGTTCTTTCAGGTCGGCACATGCTATTATCTTTTATAGTATGTGCCGACACATCGAACGTTTAGGCCGATACATGCTGTTTAAGTTGGTCTATTTTATTAATTTCTTTTACTCCAAAAATTACCTCCTTGCCACCAAAGTAGTCTCTTGTTGCTGGTATGATTGACATTTGTCAAAGCTCTTATTCTAGAGCTTCTCGTAAAATGCTCACGTATACTCCGTTCTTATGATGAGGTTGTATCGTCTCATTTCTTTCTAAAAGTAAGCTATGTCTTTTATTCTTTTTATTTAAAGGTATTTCAATTTACATGCTTATAGTGGCCTAGATCAAATTATGCAAATATGTATGTTTTTGCCTTTGATTTCTTATCTATGCATGCTTGTTTTTCTAAATTGTTCAAATACATAACCTTAACAAATATTGTTCAAAAAATACATATAAGTTTTTTTCAGTCATGCATGAGTCAAGTCACATGTCTCCAAATATGTCAAATTGTGTCTCTTGGTGTTTCTCTAAAAACTTACAAGCATG